AGAGGCCGTTTTCATTTTTATTATATCACTCAAATCTTTAACATCACATGAAAATGAAAACGGCCTCTATCAAAAAAAATGAGTTATGATTTTCATTGCATAGTTTTATGCCACAAACACGTTTTAAATAGTGTGATTATCAAATTGTTGGGCAATGGATATGTAAATAGTTAAAAATTGTGTGGTAGTATGCATGTAAATTTCCCAAAAAAAATGATTTAATAGTAAAAGAGAAAATCCATTTCATTATTTACGTCACGAATAATTATCTTAAAAACTCTGTTAAAATATTTTTATTAATTTTTAGTGGCTGTTTAATTAATTCTGAGATTAATATAATATATGATGAGTAAATCATAATTTATTTCTTAAAAGTTTAATTTTTGCAGATAAGCCCGATGGAATTAAAATTTTACGAAGACTTTATTAATTAAATTTTTAAGACAGATGGTAGTAGCTAAATCAAAGTTTTTATTTATAAGCATGTTGTCAAACAGAATTTCATTTTACGCTAAATAAAAACAGAACAATTGTAATCAGATATAAAATTAGGGAAATTTTGTGCATGAATGCCCAATTAATGGGCCAGGCAAAGTAAGACAATAATGAGTTCGTGATTGGGCCCTATTTGCATAAGACAACATTAGCGGGCTTCCGTTATTCAAATATCATGATCAGAGCTCTTTAAACCTGATTTATCAAGTTTTTTTTTTTAAAAATAATTTTCTTTTATTTTGTATTTGTAGGAATATCGAGTGTAAGGAAAATAACTTTAATATACATTTTGATTCAAACGATATTCAAAGTTACAGTGTTCCACTATTCTTCATAACTTGAAAGGATGGGATTATAAATTTGATAAATAATTGCTTAATATTTTGATATTATAATAGGATTTGTTTCATAATTGCATCATTTAGGTAATAATGATAAATCAATAACAATTGTGTGACAGAAATTTGGTTGTAATAGTTCCTCCCGGTAATTGACGTTAGCTAGTGGTCGTTATGAGTTCAGGATTAGCTCTCAACTTTTACCTCCGTTCATACGAAGAATATATATTTAGTCATAATGTCTTAGAGTGTCATTTAAATAAATCTAACCAAAATTTTAGAACACTCTGCCAAACGGTTCATATTGATTTAAAATTGATTGGTCTTGAGCTCTTGGGCTCATTGCTTCCTTATCAAGCCGTCCAATTCTATTATAAATATGTCAAATTTGAAGATTATTTGACTTTTTAATAGATACATTAAAGCGTTTCATTATACTTCAGGTGTTTCATTTGGGTTTATTTATAATTAGATTGAATTAGTTTTGGTGTTGATAGAATTTTATTGCTATGAGTTTTAGTTTGAAACGTTTTCTCATTTAATATACTTTAAGATCCGTGCTTTATTATGTGATTCTTTTGTGATATGTCAAATATTTTACACCACAACTGAATTTTCTAATCATTTATTTGAATGCAAACTTTATTTTCTCTTAATTGTTTCTACATTAATATCAAGACTCAAATAAGAATTATGTCATCACAATTGAAATACTTTAGCATTATTACGCGATAGAATAGTCTCAATAGTAGAGTGATAAAGAAACATCTTAATTGTATATAAAATCTTAATATATACATAGAGAAAAAAATAATCTAATATTAAATACTAGAATTTTTTAGTTGAAAATAAATATAAAAGAGAAAATTATAAGGTCTAGCTCAATTTAAATAAGCCGCCATTATACATCATAGATCATAAACTACAGCAATATATTATAATTAAGAAAGACAAATATAAAATATGATAAATATGAGTTGTATGAAATGAATCCCATAATAGAACCTAGAGAAAATTTTGGGCATTGGAGTTATAATGAGGATATTATTTGTGATATGTTTGATGGTTCTTCTTTGGAAAGAGATGACCAGAGACCAATAAATCGGATATAATTATTTATATTAACTATTATAGTACTGTTATAGATTAACTACATACATCAACATTGTTATTGTTGATATTCATTGGTGTTATTAGCAACGGTAAAGGATGAAGTTGGCCAACATCAATATTAGTGTTGATGGCGTGCATCAAGCATAAGTTTTATAAGTGATGTCTTCATGCATTTGTCATGCAGGCGAAGGTAAGTGATGAAGGTAGTCGTCGTTGGTGCAATTTGTATAGTCAAGTAATGGCAGTTAGAAAATCATAATAAAATCATCATGATCAGTCAATCATAGGTAACCATAATTAGGTAATATTGGTTGAGTACAATAGTTCGGCCATCATAATGGATCAATGAAAGTTTGGAGTCGCCTAAAATCTAGAAACGATATAATTTGTCAATAAATGTTTAATCATTTTTAATTGCACTCTAAGTATTTGTCTTAGGTTTACAAGGACTCGAATTGGATCGTTTTTTTCTTATATCATTAAGTTAGTTTCATTGAGACGTTCAATTTGACATAGAACTATCAAAATAAGAATTTGAATGACTACGAGTTTGATTTTGAAAAATTTGTGGTTGATCATGTAGATTTTTTGGCAACGGTTAAATTATAAATTGATATTTATTTTTAAAATTTTAATTACATGCCGCTATTTCCAAAAATAATATCAATATTGATAATAAGATTTGAATAATTTATGTTATTTGTCAGTTGTTAATGATGTGAAGAACCCTATGCGCTAGCAGCTCCAAACTTAAAAAGCGCATCATCACATGTTTGTCAAGTGGAAGCTCACAGCACAAAATTTGTTACATGTCCAATTAAATTCACTCAACTCTAAAATAAAAAAGCTCAAAATAAATTTGAGCCATGGGATAAGAGACCAAATATCACTATCCCACAAACTAGAGAAATTATTACGTGTGATGACAACACATCTGAAGGGCGTCGTGTGATTCACGACGGCGTGACTGTATCCATGCCGTCGTCTTAATATGTGGACAATGACATATAATTATTTTCTCATAAAGTGGGTGTATGATTTTAATTTTGAATGTAAGAAGTAACACGCTCTTACGAATCCAGAATTTGACTTAAAAATGCTATGAAAATTTGATATCTATAGACATTATTATATTTTCATTATCTCATACAAAATTGCTGAGCACACGTGAGAGAGTTCTGGACTTATATTGTTTGATTCAAATTTCTATGACACACGAATTATAAATTTTTTTGAAATTGCTTTCATGTAATTATATGTTTTATGAATATATGATCTATAATAATAAATTGTAAATTTGATGTTCATATCACAATGTTCTGTTACTTGCTGGAAAATTTGTTTATTAGAATATATTTATTAAAATTATAAAATAATATAAATTTATGGAGAAGTATAGAGAGACTAACATTGATGAACAAATGTTTTTATTACTTAAAAAAAAAACTTATGATAATTTTCCAAAAGAAGTTTTTTTGGAAAGTTCTTGAAAAAAAAGGAGTTTATATAACTTTTATTCAATTCATTAAAGATATGTATACTAGAGCTATTACTTGTCTTCGAACATAAGGAGAATTGACCAAATATTTTATTTTTTCAATTGGATTGCATCAGGATTGGCTTTAAGCCCATATCTTTTTTGCTTTAGTTATGGGTGCTTTTATTGGATATTTTACAGGAGGATGAACTTTGGAGTATGCTTTTCACTGATGGTATCCTTCTCGTGGATAGGAGTAGCAAAAAAGTTTAGAAAAAAACTTAAATTATGAAGATCAACATTAGTTTCTAAAGACCTTCATTTGTATGTAATTTTAGTAGTAGGTCTAAAACTAAATACATAAAATATAATTTTAGTGGTAGTAGATCTAGTGACAGAGCTATAACTATAGATGATCAAGCGAATGTTTTAGATATCTCGGGTCTATTGTTCAGAGAGATGGTGATATAGTTGGGGATGTTATTAGTAGAATTCAAGTGGGATGGTTGAAGTAGAGGAAAGCTTCAGATCTATTATGTGATAGATAAGTACCACTTAAACTTAAAAGAAATATGTATACGATGGTTGTGATACTTGCAGTGCTTTGTGACATAGAATGTTCGTCGATAAAATAGAAGTATAAAACTAAGTTAATTGTTACTGATATGAGAATGCTTCGGGGGAAGAGTGGCTTGACACCTAGAAATGATATGTGAAATGAATGTGTCCATGAAAGGGTAAGTGCAACTCCAGTGACAAATAAGAATATATAGAGTTGTCTTAGATTGTTTGGTCACATTAAACGTCGATCATCTGATAATCCAATTAAGAAAATAGACGTTTTAGTTTTAGATTCGACTTATTTTAAGAAAGATAAAGAAAAACCTTAAAGGATTTAAACATGCCATATAAAAATGATCTTAATTTATAAGAATTAAATAAAAATATGACACTTAATACGGCACAATGGAGAAAAATCATTCATATAGCTGACCCCACTTTGTGGTATAAATGATTGTTGTTGTTGTTGTTACATAATTAATAATATTTTTTGAGATTATTTTAACTTGTCTTTTAAACAATAACTGAAAAATATATAATTTATGATTAAATTTTTTATTTAAAAAATAACTTTCTCTGTCAATTGTTTTGCTACCTTCAAAATTACTTTTTTCTTATTACTAAAAAATTCATATACCACATAATTTTAATATATTTATATATCCATATTTAAGATTTGATATTTATAATAATAATAATGACATTTTTTAGGTAATGATTTATGTATTGATATGTAAATATATAAGAATGGTGTGGTATGTAAAAAACACTCTTACTAAAATGAAATTTTACAAATGACTAGGGTTTATCGTCTTATCCACCGCTACAATCGGAGCATCATTTAACCGCCCTTCCCAATTTCTCCGTCTTTTACTCCACCGTGGCCATAGACGGCGAGGCGGGAGGTCAATCATTTTCACAATGTCTTGGTTTGCTCGCTCTCTGGTGAACTCCCTTCGAGGCGACGATGATCAGAGCAGCGAGCACAATCCCTTTACGAAGCCACGCAACGACGACAAGTCCGGCGACCTTGTTCACACCGATGACCAGCCTCCATCTCCAAGCAGAGGAGTCAAAGAAGATCTTTCTGAGCTCACTAAGACTATCACCCGCCAGTTCTGGGGCGTCGCCTCCTTCCTTGCCCCTCCTCCCGATGTCCAGCCACCCGATCCTAGCCGGGTGTCCGATCCTTCCAATCCGGCAGTTGCCGGCGGTTCGGATGATTCGGAGTTGTCAAATTCACCGAGGATTGCCGGGATTCGGAGCGATTTTGCTGAATTGGGTGGGAGATTTAAGAGCGGAATTTCGATTCTTTCGAATACTAAGGCGGTGTCTGAGATCTCGAAGATCGCATCTACGTTTCTGCCATTTGGAGATGATGGGCCGGAAGAGGAGGAGGAGCCTGTTGGTGAGGCCGTGGGGTTAACTGAGGAGGTTCTTTTATTTGTGAGGAATATTTCATTGCATCCGGAGACTTGGTTGGATTTTCCGTTGATTGCTGAGGATGAGGATCCTGATGGTACGATTTCTACTTACGACTGTACATTTATGATAGTTTCGTTGAAATTGTTGGAGTTAATAATTCATCATCGTCATGTGTTTTTTTCTTCGGATTGTTAATGTGTTCTTAAGCTGCTCGAAAGTCGGAAGTTTAATGCAGGAGAAGTTACGGATCGGCATGTTATTGATATAATTGATTGTTGACATATTGTTGGAAATCAACTTTCTATTTAACTTGATTCATTCGCCATCGTGCCTCAGCTAGAGTAGGAGCGACTGCAAGGTTGAGATCATCCATACTGGCATGCTGCTTTTCGGCTTCAAATTCTCTACGATTATCATCGTCATTTGGGACAAGTTTTTTCTTTTTTTAAGGGTCATTTGGGATAAGTTAGAAAGCAGCAATCTTGCGATCATCAGTAGCTGCAGCAACAATCATTTGCTAACTATTTGTGGTCAACTATAGGAATCTTTTTCCCCATCCATTCCTATTAAGTGTTACTTTAGCTGTTAACTTATGTTTACACTTTTTTCTAGTTTTGACGCTTGTCCTACCTCTTTTTCCTATTTTTCAATTAACAAATGCTATATACTATACATGTGTCTTATTAGCTCTTTATCTTTAATAGGTATTATGTTCACCATTGCTATGATACAATCACTTCTCACTCTATTCATCCAATTTTTATTCTAAATCCATTTTACTTGGTTATCATTGCTTTTTTTTTTCTCGAAAACTACGAGTTGTATAAAGTTTAGTTGATTTAGTTACACTTTTTAACATTTATTTTTAAATGTTACTTGACTTCTTTCTTTATTTTCTTTTATCATTTAGTAATTTGAAATGGAATTTAGTCAGGGATTAATAGGCTGGATTGTGATTGCATGCTTAGGTTGAATATTACAAGAGAAAGAGTGTGCTTAGAATGCTCTATTTTGTTTTTGAATCGTTAAATTGATGATCATCTGACTATCAACTAATCCATTTGGAGCATTGTTACTTTGCACTCAAACATCATTGCCTAAAGGAAAATTATCCTATCCTTGATAAATTTATTCTCATAACTCAAATTTTAATGGTAGCAATTGCAGAGTAGTTATTAATATAAACTTTTTTTCATTATAAAAGTTTCAATTACTACTACTTTAAAGTCTATGACTTGTACTGTGCCTTTGTGATTATGCATTATTTATCCCTAGTTCTACTTCTACATGGAATTCTTTTGTTCTATTGGGATTTTATTTATTCCTCTTTGTTCATGGCATTATCTTATTTTATTGTTACACCCATAATCAATGGAAGAGATCTCGTTTCCGAAAAATGGCATCTTCATGTATTAGGGCCCGCTAGTAGATCTCCTATGTTCACAAAATATTTTTACTAGGAGCAAGGAGGTTCCATTAATGTTTTTTGTTTAATAAGAAACGGTGTATCTTGCTTTTTCCATGGCAAATGCGCTTGAATTATGGTTGGGTAAAGTATGCTCCATGCGATGATGAGGTTGTTTCAGGAGATAACCACGTGGAGCTTCCCTCAACAAGATTGATGGAAATCTAAAACTGTATTTTTGCCAGATGCACAAACAATGAATACTGAGATGAGGATTATTAGCTGTAATGATTATAACTTTGTTGTTATATTTTTCTCTACCTTGTCTTCTTAAAAAACATGCTTTTGATGATGGTACTATTGAAAACGGGTTGTTTTCTCTATTGTTTTAATTACCACATTAAGTTTGGTTTTGTATTGCTAATTGTTTTGATTTAACCTTGGAATTGTGTAGTTTAGTTGTTTCCAGTTCATTTCTTTAGCGTATATCCAGTTCTTTATTTTGGAAATTCTCTGTTTTTTTATATATTGTGCACACTTGAAACTTAGCTATTTACATGACTAAACCAAATTTTTTTCATTAATACTGATACCACCTACATCTCGAAGAGACAACAAACCCCCAACTCATATTTTTCCCTTTCATTAAGCTCTCAATAAAACTGATCATAGCATACATAAATACATGATATTTGCTTGCTCATTTATAGTTTGAGAAATAATTTTATAAATAAAGAAATAAGGGTGAGCATTTAGTCGTGGTTTGAATGGTTTGCTTTATGAATTAGCTAAACAATTGGTTTCTTTTGGCTGTGTTTGAGTTTAGATGAACTGAAATGTAACCAGTTTTAGAAGGATACCAAGTAATTTTTGTTAAAATTTTTATTTTTGGCGTGTAGAATAAATCACATTCATGTTGATCTTTATATACCTTTTTTTGTTTGCATTGGTTTATTGATTTATATTTGAAGAGATTAGTATAGTTTGGTTTTTGTTTAGATTGATTTTACAAAACCCAAAAATCCATATCAACATCAAAGAACCAAAGAAAGTTAAAATTACAGCCAATAACTAAATTGATGTTCGAACAACTGAATTAAACCAACCAAATAAGATTAGTTTTGTTCAAATTCTCGGTTTTATTTAATCAAATGCCCATCCCTATGACCAAGTTTCATATGTTGCATATTTAGTTTTTCAAAAAAAATTGCCTAGATTCGAAGGCATTAGATATTGCCTCGATGAACAATCAGTTTTTTTTGTTCTTTTCATAAAATTTAATGGATTAACTCATCTTTCATCTTTTTAAAGGTTTGAATTCGTTACAAATTTAACGTATGTAATGTTCCGTTGGCATGTAATACTTATGATATGCTTCTATTTTTTTAATCCTCCTTTTATTTCATTTATATTCTTAACTTAGTGGGTATAAATAAAAACTTGTTTAAATGTAAAATCTTAGATAATTGGGAAAAATATAAAGTGGGCTAAAAGGAGTCTAAGAGAACAGTTTGTGATGGTAAGAATTTAGTTTTTAGAGATCTTTATCATATATTATATACTAAAGAGTGTAAAAGATATATGTATAGACCAGTCAAATAAAAAAACAAATAAAGATTTAATTCAAGTAAAGTGTATTAAAGATGAATATAAAAAAAAAATATTATTGTTAGAGGAATATATTCGACATAGGTGGGTGAGATATTTTCATAAATTTTTCAATGAAATTTTTAAAAATACGATTGAACTTAGTGATCGTAATATCGTTAATAGTAATATAATTTTTTATTTTTACGGTCACATTAGTTAAAAAGAAGTTGAAAGGCTTTAAAGAAAACCAAGGGCGGAAAATTAGTTGGATCTGATGATATTCCAATAGAAGTGTGAAAATATTTAAAACATTTGAGAATTTCTTGGCTTACTAAACTTTTTAATATTATTTTAAAAACAAAAAGACGTTTGAGGAGTGGAGGAAGAGTATTTTGGTCCCCATTTTTAAGAATAAAGGGGATGCGCATGAGTGTGCAAATTATAGAGGAATTAAGTTAATGTGTCTTACATTAAAATTATGATGGAGAATAATTGAACATTGGCTAAGACGTGATACAAAGATTTCTCATAATCAGTTTGGATTTATGTTGGGCAAGTCTACTATGGAAGCTATATATTTTTTGAGAAGTTTGATGTAGAAATACAAAGAGAGTAGGGAGGATCTACATATGATTTTTATTGATTTAGAAAAAGCTTATGATAAGTCTTCAAGAGAAGTTCTTTGGAGAGTTCTAGAAAAGAAAGGTGCTGATTCGACTTATATTTAAGTCATTAAAGATATGTATATTAGAACTGTTATTTGTGTTCAAACAGAAGGAGGATTGACCAAATATTTTCCTATTTCAATTAGATTACATTAGGGATCAGCTTTAAGCCCATATCATTTTTCTTTAGTTCTAGATGCGCTTACTGAACATTTATAGCTTGTATCACCTTGGTGTATGCTTTTGTTGATTATATTCTTTTTGATGATAAAACTAGAGAAAGAGTTCTGGAAAAAATTGAATTATGAAGGTCTACATTAGTCTAAAAGATTTTGTTTGTGTAGATCTTAAATTGAATATATTTAATGTAATTTTAGTATTATTAGATCTACTGACAGATTTGTAACAATGTGTGATCAAATCATTAAAAGGTTTTAGCATTTTAGATATCTCGGATCTCTTGTTCAAACTGATGGGCATGTAACTGGGGATGTTATTAGTAGAATTCAAGTTAGTTGGTTGTAGTGGAGGAATGCTTTGGGCCTATTGTGTGATAGAAAAGTACCGCTTGGAATTGAAGGAAATTTTTATAAGATGGTGATACCTGCAATGCTTTATGGCATAGAATGTTGGCCTATAAAAGAGAAGCATAAACCTAAATTAATTGTTGCTAAGATGAGAATACTTAGGTGGATGAGTGGCTTGACACTTGGAGACTAAATGTGAAACAAATATATCCGTGAAAGGGTTAGTGTAGCTCCAGTGGCAGACAAGATTAGAGACAGTTTTATTAGATGGTTTGGTCACATTAATCATCGATCATCTGATGATCCGATTAGGAGAGTAGATGTTTTAGATTCAATTTATGTTAAGAAAGGTAGAGGTAGACCTAAAAAGACTTGGGCATGTTGTATACAAAATGATCTTATTTTATTAGAATTAATGATAATATAATACTTAATAGGACACAATGGAGAGAAAGGATTCATGTAGCCGACCCCATTAAGTGTGATTAAGGTTTGTTGTTGCTGTTGTTGTTGATGTAGGTTACAGACATTGTATACTTCTTCCCGTTAAATTTCATACTTTTTCCACATTAGTGGCTTGTTTCCACACATTTGAGAAATTCTGTTCCATTTGACTATTATGTAGTGTTATCGGTTGTTGATTGAACTAGAACATCTTCCACCAAGTGTTTTTACCAAGTGCTTGATAATACTCGATCATATCACTACTTTTTAAGAACCATAGAAAGAGTTTATAAACGTTTTACTTAACAAATTTGGGCAAGTAAATTTTTGGTTTTTAATAAACTCTTTTTACTGACTGTGCGTGTAATTTATAATTCTATTACCTATTCCGAGCTTTTAATTAAGTGGCATTTATATTTCTGAAGATTTGTTTCTGTCCAGCCATGTTATGCTCTATTGCTCTATTCTTCCAGTTATGTGTGCAGCTGTTTCTGATCGTCATTTTCTTCATCTTTTCTGGGTGAAAAGAGGTTACTGGGAGAGCATAAGAAATGCTGCATTGTTCATAGACTTCACAATAGTATTGGTTGCTATAAGCTCATAACAATGATATGCCCGGCTCTTTTCATAAGCAGAATGTCATATATTTGAAGTTTTGAACTGAGCAATAGTTCCTTCCAGTAGCTACTATCAAAGAACATCCGGTTATCAAATAACCCTTGTGCCTGGTCAACTTATTCATTTGTTGGCTGCAAAGTTTAAAATTGCGCAAGTCAAGCCTCAATCTGAGGCACCTGGGCAAAAAGCAATGAAGTGTATGCTGCATGTGTGTTAGTTGAGGTGTGCACCTCAATGGGATGTGCACTTTCAATGAGACATAACCTCCAATTGCTTACTATTTTTTATTTTTGTTTTTTTATTCATTTGGATATCCTTTCTCTATTTTATAGCCGTGTATGACATTGTATCATTTGCTTTGATTTTTTATGGTTTTTTTTAACATCTTACTTTGATATTAGTATATTATTATTTTAAAGTTCTCATTAATTTAATTTTTTAATTTTGGTCTTAAAGCCTCGGACTAACATCTTCCCTCACAAAATGAAAATGCCTCTATATGTCACAATTTGAAACCTTGGCTTCAAATCATTTACGAAATATTACAAGTAAATGTGTGTTCACATGTTGTTCTAGTTGAGATGGTGAATGCCATCATATAATCTTGCCTTGGGTGTATGTGTTTTTTTTTTTTGCATGAATGAATGCCTTTGGTATGTTATTTGCTCAATCTCATTCTTTGCAATTTTTTTTCTTATGTGTCTTATATTTGTTTCTAGAATTTGAAATGTCTGATGCCCAGCAAGAGCATGCATTGGCCGTGGAACGTCTTGAACCAGCATTAACAGCACTTAGGATAGAGCTCTGTCCAAGTCACTTGAGTGAAGGGTGCTTTTGGAAGATCTATTTTGTGCTTTTGCATTCTAGACTGAATAAACATGATGCTGAACTTTTGTCAACTCCACAGGTAAGTTGAATAATTTCTACTAAGTTCTCATCGTTTCTTTCTGATAACCATTTTAATATGTAGTGGAGTAATTTTTAGTTTATTATACTCTGTTTCAATCTTACTTGAAAGGACAAGCTACTTATTGATTTTCTTGCACTGCTACATTTTGACTGTATTTTTCTTATATCCAAAATCTATTTTTTTATATGGTTCAGCCTTTCTTGATTGATGTATCGAAAGTTAATATCATAGTTATGATTGGACACCGCTAAAAATAGTACAAAAAATGAAATTTTTAATTGTATTATAATAATTTGGCATGAGTTGAAATGGTTAAAAGTTAAGCAAATAAATTAAAATTTAAATTCAAGTTTAGTTAAAATTAAAAGTTAATCATATGTATGTATTTAACGTTTAAATATAGGTGTTGTTATTCTTGATTTGATAGAAATAAAATAGTGTAGGATTGTCCAACACACACATAGATAAGTGATAAGAGATAATAAGATTTGTACATAAAAAAATTGAGAAGAGAAAAATCACGGGATCTGACCATATCAGAATTGTTTACTGTATATTTGAGGTTACGAAGTACCATTCTTTTCTGCAATTGGAGAAGATGTGGTTAGAAATATGAACTTTTGTTTGTTTTTCTGTTGCTACAACGTGAGTTGATAAAAATCAACGTTGATCAAGTTACAATGAGTAGGCAACAACGATATAGAGATAATAACCGAGCTATAGTAGCCTTATAATCATAATTGGGCTACAACAACTATTGGTAATTAGTGATAGTTACTAGTGATCCTTTGTTGCAAGCTTTCTTCAAAAGTGCGACTTAACTCTTAGGGTGCGTTGTTTCGGTTGTGACTGTAGAAGGTTTTAGTTCAAAAGCTATTATTGAAAATGTGTTGTTCAGGAGCTGATGTTTCAAAAGCGGTTTGTCTTTTTGGAAACGCAGTTCTGAAGTTGTTGTCTGTTGACTAATGACTATAATACCCCTCAACATATAAACACGATTCTGTTTGAAAAACACACTTTTGTTTGAAAAAACAAATAAAAAAAATTTCAGTGTTAATTTTGTAAATAAGATGTCATGCGCACAACTATATGTATATAAAAATAAAATAATAATATTAATGAAACAAAAAACTAGCATCTTAATTGTAAATATTGGTGCGTTTGCCAGGAAGCCATTATGTTCTCTTCCCAATTAGTTTTTTTTGACATTACCGATGATTTTGGAACCTTCGAGTTCAAGATTTGCATTCCAAGTTACATAACCAATTATAAAAAAAGGGAACATGAATTTCTGCACTGCTGCACTGAAAAAAAAAAAAAAACCCTAATAAGTAGCAAAATCAAACATCTAGGATTGAAAACTGCAATAGCTAATTTTGAAGAAGATAAGACACAATAAAATATTTTGTTGGGAGAAAAATGGATCAATCTAAACGCAGAGCAGGGCAAATATAAAAATAGAGAAAATGTAGAGAGAGAGAAATGGAGAATCTACGATTGTGGAATGTTGGTGAGGGGCTTCCCGGACGAGAAAAGCGTAGGGAAATCCGATCTTTTGTGCTGCTTGTCTTCACTTTGATACACTTCGCCCATTGCAGCCTCTTCTTCTTCTTCTTCTTCTATGGAGTTGGACTCGGGGCTTTCCCCAAAAGCTCTGTTATGTTTCCTTCTCCCATTTGTGCTCGCCCCTCTCTTGATCTTGACTCTTATTTGGAAGGCAGCGGAATCTTGAAGTTGGGTAATAATGTGAATTTTTATTCATTATCCGCGGGAATCCTGAAGTTGGGAGGTTTTATTTATAGAGTTTTGAGATAGGGGGGGGGGGGGGGTTTTTTTGGGGGGGGTATTTTGATACATTTAAACAAAATTTCAAAAACATTTGATTAGATTGTCTGGTCAATTCTTTTAATCATATATCATTCTTTCAATACTTAAGTGCCTTATGATCTCAAAATAAAATGATCTTACACTCATTGACTTTCTTATGCCGAGCTGCTTGATTTAACTATAAGCATGCAAACTTTAGAAGTCATTTAGCTCTTCAATCGTTGTTTTGGAACTTTCAATTCTACTTCAAGTGAGCTCATTTGGACTCAGATTGGACTGACTTCAGTGAAGTTAGGTTCATCTCATTTAAACATTCAGTCAAACCATAGGTTTGATGAAATTGACTGATAGATAAGTCCTGAATTTATTTTTGAAATTTTCTAACATGAGAATTACATCAAGAATTATGCTTTTATTAGATGGATTTTCTTAGTAATATATCAGTATCAGATGTCATATTAAAATATATAAGAAATCATTTACATGTGTGATTATTAGCATATGATCATTTTTGAATTCAAACTCAAGTTTGTCGAGTGATCATCATATATCGCACCAAGTATCATGCCTAGTTATCATGTATGTTAGTTTAGTATATATGACGATAACTATGGTCAAGACATTGTAGTTTTTCCTTTATTTGGGAGTCATCATTATGGAATGAGTTAACTTGGTGTTAGAGTTCGCATATTCTATTGTAATGGCTTTAACTTCAAAAAAAAAATGAGGATGCATAGTATCAAAAACATTTTATTAGATGGTTTTTGTCAATTCATTTGATCATAGATCATGCTTTCTATATTCAAGTGCCTTCTGACCTCAAAATTAACTAATCTTAAGTTCATTGGATTTCTTATGTCTAACTGTTTGGTTTGACTATAAGCATGTAAACTTTGGAGGTCATTTAGCCCTTCCATCATTGCTTTGGGGCTTCCAATTGTACTTCAAGTGAGCTCATTTTGAATTGGATTGAACATACGTTAGTGATGTTAGGTTCATCTTATTTAAACGTTCAGTCAAACCATAGGTTTGATGAAACGACTGATAGATAGTCCTGAATTTATTTTTGAAATTTTCTAACATGAGAATTACATCAAGGATTATGCTTTTATTAGATGGATTTTTTTAATAATATATCAATATCAGATGTCATATTAAATTATATAAGCATTGATTTACATGTCTGATTATTAGCATATGAATATTTTTGAATTCAAACTCAAGTTTGTCGAGTGATCGTCATATATCGCACCAAGTATCATGCCTAGTTATCATGTATCTTAGTTTAGTATATATAACGATAAGTATGGTCAAGGCATTGTAGTTTGTTCCTTAATTTGGGAGTCATCATTATGGAATGAGTTAACTTGGTGTTGGAGTTCATATGTTTTATGTTGCATTTGGGGCAGATTTTTAGCAGTGGCGGTGGGAAAAACCTAGTTGGTGGCGTTTGGAAACAAATTAATTGTAGTTTTCGACTTATTTGAGTAAAACACGGGTCGCGCTTTCAACCGTGCGACTTGTGTTTTTTTCACGTATATTCTCCATCGGTTGCCCCTCGACCCCCCGTGCTTCACTCAACTCTTTGCGTTCTCAGTCTTGCCCTAGCTCCTCCTTTACTCCCCAATTGCGCTTCGACCCTATTCTCGATTCTGCCCTAGCTCTTCCTCTCCCCCCCCAACTGTGTTCGGCGGTTGTCGGCCGTTTTAATTTTCTGTTTTGGAAAAGAGATAATTTTTGTATGAAGATAGTTTTAAATATAAATATGTGATTTTGATTTTTGAAAGAAATTTTTTTAATTTTTGAAAAGAGAAGAGACCAAATGAGTCACACATATTGAATAGTTTGGATGACTCAGCTTAATACCGCAAGTAACATACTTATCCCGAAGAATAAACATATCACTTGTAAAACATATCACTACCTAAATTAAAGAATTTGTGACATCCGTTTGGTTTGCGAAATAGTTTTATATGAGGCCAACAAGTTCTCCTACCTAATATAAGGATTAGATAAAGTTTATTTTACCTGGGTTCCAAGTTTTCTATAAATATGTGATTTTGATTTTTGAATGTAATATTTTTAATTTTTGAAAAGAGAAAGAGACCAAATGAGTCACACATATTGAATAGTTTGGATGACTCAGCTTAATACATAAGTAACATACTTATCCCGAAGAATAAACATATCACTTGTAGTAGACTCAATCACCTAAATTAAAGAATTTGTGACATCCGTTTGGTTTGCGAAATAACAAGTTCTGAGGCCAACAAGTTCTCCTACCTAATATAAGGATTAGATAAAGTTTATTTTACCTGGGTTCCAAGTTTTCTATAAATATGTGATTTTGATTTTTGAATGTAATATTTTTAATTTTTGAAAAGAGAAAGAGACCAAATGAGTCACACATATTGAATAGTTTGGATGACTCAGCTTAATACATAAGTAACATACTTATCCCGAAGAATAAACATATCACTTGTAGTAGGCTCAATCACCTAAATTAAAGAATTTGTGACATCCGTTTGGTTTGCGAAATATTTTTATATGAGGCCAACAAATTCCCCTACCTAATATAAGGATTAGATAGAGTTTATTTTACCTGGGTTCCAAGTTCCTTATAGAGGTAAGCCCATATAGTTAATTACATCTCAAATGATCGGGATCACTTAAGAAAACTCTTGATTAAGATCAGTAGTTATGCCTTTGAGATTTCAGAGTTTAGGTTTCCATGATTGTACATAGGAAAATCAAATGGAAGTGGCTCAAATAAGAACAATTATTTTAAGAAATACAAAGGAATGAAGAGTAGGGGATATCACCGATCTGAGTAAAAATCCCGATAACCTCCTAACTATCCTATTGTTTGGCTTTATATCTTCGAAATAATGTTGTTTATGTTCGCACAATATCTGATCGTGCAAATAGCCTAAAAAGATAGAAGAATTTACATTGTACCGTACAGTAACCTCAGAATCCTAAAGTGTTAGGACTTATAATTACACAACAGAGTTATGCAAAAGCCTAAAAGTGATATGTGAAGGTTTACGCTGCGCTAGGAAAACGACCTCGAAATCCTATGAGTTATTTAAACTAAGAAAAGTGCTTAGTGATATGAATTTGTTTTGACGTTGCTCTTCTGAATGTCCTCGTCGTGCTCGTCGTGCTGC